GAAAACTTTTTTTAATCATTTGAGAAATAAACAAAAGAAAAGGTGCTGTATGCTAAATTAACAGTTCCAGTCAGTAGACAGAGCAAAGCTTGTAAACAAGTGCAGCACTCAGAAGTTAAACTGCAAAAATATTTTCCCTGGAGAATGGAATAGAGCAGATTGGGACTTAAGAGGAGAGTATATACACAAAGCTACAGCAACTTTGGAGAAATGATCACTTTCACAACTTGTCAACTCCCTGTTCGAAAGAAAAACCCCAAAACGTGCATGCAAACAGTTTTTGTATTAACTTATGGTCACAGGTCAATGGCATATCACTCATCGGGGAAAGCCACAAAGAAGTGGTCAGGATCCTGAAGGAGCTTCCAGTCTATGTTATCGTGACCTGCTTCAGACCTACTTCTCACCTACAGACTGACGTGGAGGCTGTCCATCCACAACCTGAGGCTGTGTCCACCCCCAAACTCAAGGTATTTCAGTCATATTTTCAACTACTTTAAACTTTGTTCATTTTGACATACAACTTGGAATTCATTTTTGATTCTCAGGTTTTTGCACTGTAACTTTGCCTTAGCCTCGATTTAGTCAATATAACTATTTAATCCAAGTTCAGTTTAAGCACATGGGATTTCAAAATTATTTAAATTTAATAATTTTAAGTTATATTGGTGCGTTATGTTGTCAGGTTATTAAAATTTGTTTATTGCACATTGTATCAATATTATTAATTAACAAGGGATTATACTACTGGAGACTTCTCTACTCTACTCTACTCTTCACTTCTGTAGGATTGGATCTCTGTTTAGATGTCCTGCCTTCTCGCCAATAAACGTAGCCCTGATTGGCTATTGTCCTCATTCATTCCTCCAGTTTACATTGTAAAATTGTTGCTGAAAGGACATTGTCTCCTGTCTACTAAAGTCATGCAGGACACATGACTTACAGAGTGCTGCAGGTGATGAATACAAGAATGATCTGATTCCCTTCCATCTCTCTGACTTGCAGTAAATGTATCCTGAATAATGTTTCCCCCACCTGGCATAAAGGAAATGAAATATGACGGCAGAAAACTATTTCCTTGTCGTTCTTTCTTTCCATTATAGCCCAATGCTGATTATCGGCTTAGCCAGTGCTGTCAATCGCGTCATTGCCAGCAGTGGTGGATTAGGACTAAGAGATGAGTGGGAGGGATTTTTATGAAAACTCATTCCAGAAATATCGATGCTGTTGTAGCCAAAACATTTTGTTTGATATATAAAAACATCAAAACCAGCATCATTTTGGGGAGAATTCTTCTGCACAGCTTCATGTGATAATACAGTACACAGGTCCCTCACCATCCTGTAAAATATTTTCCTCCGCCTTAAGAAGCTGGGCCAAATGAACATGTAGAGACTAGCACTGCATTTATAGTGTGTGACCTCTCCACTTTTTTCCTCTGCAGAAACATCTAGACCTGAGAAGCCTTTTGGTTCCTGAAAATTCAGAGGTGAACACAGTAGCAGTAATACAGGATAATGTGACAGAGGAGACAACTGGAGCTCCACTGGCAATGTGGGAACTGGAGGTTCAGAATATCGAGCTGGAGAAGGGAGAAAGAGGCCTGGGATTCAGTATTTTGGATTATCAGGTGGCAAAACCAATTTGGAATTTACATTTTTAAGTAGTTTTTAGAAGAAATAATGCTAAATGTAAAAGATTTACAGTGGTGACCTAGATAAGTGTAGTTTTCTTTAATTAACTTTCAGTCTCTTCTCATTCATATCTACTGGGCTCACTCTAGGACCCACTGGATCCTGCCAAGACAGTGATTGTGATCCGTTCCCTGGTTCCCAATGGTGTGGCCGAGCAGGATGGCAGACTGCTGCCTGGGGACAGACTTATGTATGTCAACACCACCGACTTGGAAAATGCCACTCTGGAGGATGCAGTTCAGGCATTGAAGGGGGCAAAACTGGGCAATGTCCAGATCGGAGTTGCCAAACCCCTTCCTGTAAGCATTAGTGTCATTTATCTCTTCTGTGCTCTAATCTGTCTGAATGTAAGAGGCACAATTTTAGAGGTAAAGCAACGCACTTGTTTGTCCATTTGAATATTTAAAAACGTTTCAGACGTTCTTTGTACTTTAATTGTTTAGTTATCTTCAGCATGGGTCAGGTTCATCTCTATGTGCAAGCAAAGCTTTGAGTCAGGCAATCCTTATATTGAATCACCCGACTTAGTAACCAGTCACGAGGGTTCGGCTTACAAAGGGCTGAATTTTTCATGCAGGGTAAAAAAGAAAAAAGAGCGCAGAGGCAGGCTGTACGGTTTAGCATTCCACCCACTGTTCTTTCAGCAGAGGTGACTGGCCTAAAACGGTATTTGCTCTTTGTTTCATTTTATTTTATTATTGGATTTTTTTTTTTCAAGAAGACACAGACCCACTTGTAGGTTTAAACACACGAAAGTGGGTGGGGAGGGGTTGGGCGTGAGGGTACCTGTCAAAAATGTTAAGTCTGTCCACTGGGGTGTTTAATGCTTTGTGCCCTCATGCACTTTAGAACGCATGATTCTCTACAAAAGCTCATGCATTCTTCTAGCTATAGAGCTGTGTTTGTGTTGTGTTAAATCTGCCACTGGATTACACAATGAGACCTCTGGGCTGCCAGGGTTAGCTGGATTACAGAGCTGCAGGAGTAAGAAGACTCTGTGGACTGATCCAGCTCTCTGCAGGACGTGGAATGCACTACCCGGGGGTATTTTTGCTGTTTTGCCTCTCAAAACTGCGCCTGACATGTGTAATGCTCCAATATGCCTTCTTACTTTTCGTGAAAACTTTTTGTCTGTGTTAGATACTGGAACAAGCTTATTATGAATTTTAGGACAACAACAATACTGAGCTTGATGATTTTTTAAATTATTTTAGCAATTTGTTTAATAAAAAGGTAATTTACTTTCCAGAGGATTTTTCTTACATCTTTTCGTCACTTTTACAGCTGTCAAAATAATAATAATGAGGAATAATTATGTTGACGATATGTGAAATGATATGTGAAATTTTCAATGCATTTTAACATATTGATAAATGCTAATTACTTGTTAGCAATAATTGTGAAGAACTGATTAGTGTTAAAAAGAAAACGTACCACAGAAGGAGAAACTAAAGGGATTTCTCCACTTTCCTAGGGAATATGTGGATATTCCCACTCTCCACACACATATGCTGAGCAGGAAATTACGGCTTCCTCCACCGTCCTTTCATTTGACTTCAACAGTATTGTGGTTGAAGGCGGAGATGAAGAAGAAGATCTGGCTGATGGCGTCGTTTACCTAGCTGAGCCTGCATTGGTTAGTTAGCTGAGAAGAGAAAAACAAAAATCAATCAATCAATAAACATAGAACATCCCCAAAAAGGGAAACACATATTTTTCCTTATCAATGATTTTTGTATGTGTATATTTAATATTGTTAGGTTCATAGAGTACTATTGTAGTTTCTATAATTGGAAAGTTGATAATTGTACTAGGTGTTTTTCTAAAAGGATTAATGTTTAAAACTATTTTTCCAGATTGACACCAGTGAAGCCGACCTGAGTGATGAGAAGTTCTTCGATCACTCTTACACTGGACAAGAAGACCACACCTTCCAAGCTTCTATGATTGCTCTCCATGGCAGCAGTTGTAGTCCAGACCTGGATTTCTTGCATTCATCCACACCTAAGGTAATAAAAATGTCCTTTTTATAAAAATAATATAAATAAAGAAGCAATTATTCCTTGGTTCCATTAAATCTTACTACAACAAGAACTGCCCTTTGTCCGAGTGAGTTAAAACATGTAGCCATTATTCGTCCGTTTCTTTTTGCCATCAAGAGCAAAAATGTCACGAGGACGGTAACAGCAGCACAGACTATACTTTTGTACAAGGCCTATAGCTGGGGTTACTTTTGTTGCTCTCTGAGGTCCCCCGAACAGCAACTCCCCAAACTGATTTTAAATGACAAGGAAAATAAACAAGAGCAGCATACAAGCTTTACAGAGTTTTTTTTCCCTTCCTCTGGGTTTCAATGTATCCATTTTAACCAAAGGTCAGGGTATATAGATGGTATAAAACTATGTTTATGGATCACCAATATAAAGTTCACTGGGGTGTTTAAGATCAAATAAAAAGATAGTGACTTCAAAATGTCGGCCTCCAAATCACTGTCAGTAAAACAGTGATGGCTCTTTTTCCCCTGTCACGTAGATGGATTACAGTCACACCACTTTGGCTCTGCCTCTGTGGTCAAGTTCTGTACCAAGTTACTGAGGGACTATAGCCTTTTACTGCCTGATCACTGCAACATACTGTACAATGGCAGTCATACTATGTGTTATATACTTTAGTTACATTTTTAAACTGCCTATTGTCACCATTTCAATACCTTTATATATGTCTATATTCAGTAAGTCAATTAATAATGTTTTAAATAATATATACACTTTATTGTAAGCTAATATTCAAGTCTAAGTTACATTTCCAGTCAACTAAATTAAAACTAGCTGTCAAAATAAACACTGGTTAATACAAGGTAAGTTAAAAATAAAACAAAAACAGAGAAACTTTAAACTAGTTTTAAATAATTTCTTTGTTATTGTGTTGTTCAACTTGTCCTTGAGTCTTGATCATGAGAGTGGTTATTAGTTCCATATATTACATTACGGGCTTATTAAAATAAAACATCTTGTTTTTCCTCACTATCTGTTTATTAAGGCCTTCTTTTGTTGTACATTTGCATATTGTTTTACTTTTGTCTTGAGATTCATCCTTCTGCTCTGTCCCACCCAGTGGGAATTGTCTGCTGGAAATCATCTCTATTCAGTCTGGCTCAAATAAAGTCTTTAATGTTCTTATAATGAAACTACATTTTGTGCGTTTTGCTCTCAAGACCACCAGTAATTCTTGCTATTCTCTGCTGGCCACTGATGGCTTTTCTATGCCTCATTAAGAGGGCAGGGTGGTGACTGAGTAAGATGGATACCCCCTGTTGGGCAATTGTCTAACTAACAGAGGAGAACGCTCATTCAGCTGCCATGCTTTGTTTTACCTCAGCTGACGGCTCGACTGGACTTGTTGGATGAGCATCCCTTTATGACGCCCAACTTTACTGCACCGACCGGCCTTGAAGACGGCACTCAAGTGTTCCCAACTGAGACGCCGGCCTCTTTTTCTCCACAGAGTTTGAGAGGTCACACCCTGGCCTATGATGCCATACTCAGCAGTTCCAATTGTTACCTGGCTCATCTCCCAGCCAAAGAAGAACCAGAGGAGTGCTCAGGCTCATACAGCCCTTTTGCTGAAATCAGAAACAGATCTTATGCCCAGGAGGAACCTGTGATGAGTCACTTCCAGAAAGAGCCGGCCAGCTCAATGGTGGATATTAGGGACAGAACATTTCTAACAGAGGTAAAATATACAATACTATAACAAGCTTTATATAAATTACATTAAGATTGCATTTTTCTTTTGACTTTAAGTGTCAACCATAAAACAAACTTTTGCCAAAAAACTTAAGAAGTTGGAGATTTTTTTCTTTACAAAAGTCACATTTAGTAGTGAAGTAATTTTAGCTACTGCAAGAACTACTCAAAGTATATATATTTTTAAAAAATGGGCAGAAAATGTAACAACATTCTATGTGTTACAGAAGTACATTAGTGTAAATGCTTAAATTGGCTGGTGATAATTAAAGAGTCTACAAGAATGGCTGAATGGTAGCAGAAGGAGCTTAGTGTGATAGCCACATATAGCCATAAGTGCAGTTCATACGCTATCAACAGCAGCTAACATCTAACCTCAGCTAAGTCAACTAAGTGAAACTTTTGTTAATTATTGAATAAACTTGGTTAGCTTTTCTGTCATCTGATCATCTCTAATAGCCAATGTGCTAACTGCATTTTCTCCAGAGACCTTCACTTAGTTTGTAGTTCACTCATTGTTTTTATTTACATTCATGAATCTGTGTGTTAAAAAGCTCAAGGACGAGGAGGCTGGGGTGGAAGAATGGGCAGAAGACAGTGACAAGGAAGCACTGACCTCAGGGAGCAGCTATGACAGGACCATCACCGTTGTCAAAGGCAACTCCAGCCTGGGTGTGTATTTATTTGCCCTGGAAATATTTTGTTTGTTCTTTTTTTATTTATCTTTTTTTTTGTCATTCACAGGAATGCAAATGAAGTTAGGTAACTGAAAGGTGTGTTTGGCCTTAACCTTGAATGAAAGATGTGAAGGAAAAGGGATTGAAAAAATATTTTTGTACTGTCTTTCTTAATTTAATTTCTGTATGGGATATTTGCATTTCAAAACCTGCCCACTAGGCCTGCAGCTTGTTGGGAGAATACTAAGTTCAAACTTCTAAGACTAAATAGATGTTATGAGGACAGCATTTATTTAAAAAAGGTCATAGACAGTAAAAGCAGCATCCCAATTTGAATTTTAACATCTGTGTTTGATGACCAATGAAACACTCTCCATACATTTCATGAAGTTTGAGCTTGCAAATTCCAAATTATATACCCACCCTAAAAAAGTCACATTTTTGTTATGATTTCCACAAAGTAACGCCCACATACTGAACTGAAGCACGAGGGAGTTTTTGTGCAGGGCTTCACTCACAGTGTCTCCCATCTGCACAGTAAAGAACCTTCTTTTATGATTAAGTTTTATATACTGCAGACAGGTCTCCTGACATGCTGGCACACGCTGAACTCAGTTTCAGGAGAACGATATGGAAAACAAACTGCACCAGTGTGACAGTTTCCCAGCATCATTTGCTGTGACATGACAAAGTGTCATTGTGTCAGCTCAGCTGAAACTACAGCAGGTTTATTTGTTCAGTGCAGCATTTGTAATGAGTCTACATCAGACTCCCCAGATTGATAAGTAACAGGTGTCTATGATTTTACCTTTTAAGGTATGACAGTCAGCGCCATGAAAGATGGCCTGGGGATGCAGATCCGCAGCATCATCCACGGTGGGTCGATTAGCCGTGATGGACGCCTAGGGGTCGGTGACCTCATTCTGGCCGTTAACGGAGAGCCCACTACTAACCTGTCCAATGTCCAGGCTCGTGCCATGCTTCGAAGACACTCACTCATTGGACCAGACCTGGAGTAAGAGAATGTAGATTGGCTGTTGATCATGTACTGATTACATTTAAGAGTTAAGATTATTGTTTATCTTTAGATACAAACTACAGATGAAGAAAACAAAGACTTATGTTCCTTAAGATATTGCAGGATATGGCATTTCAGTCAGTCAAAAAGTTAAAGGTTAAAGTGGTATTATTTCAACAGTGGTCTGATTTTATTAACTAAATCATGTTAGGGCACATTTCTCTGGCATCAGTTTTGACAGTTTTACATTGCTTTGACTAATTGTCTAAGTTGCAGGTAATTTGATCAGGTTTTTGCCCATTGAAAACACGATAGAAAACATATTTAATTGACTAAAGACTTACACCAGGTTTTGATCTGGTTCCATGTGATGTTTTTTTCCCCCCAAAATTTAAAAAGAGCTTGATATAGATGAGTCAAAGAACGAGGTGGAAAAAAGCTTGCAGAAGACTTGAATTGAGGATATGTTGAGAAATAGCTTTGCTAGCTGTTATGTTAGCTGCTAAGTTATGTTCATAATGACATTTTTCCTCTAATTGTATTTTTGACTTACCCTTTGAGTATTTGTGGTTTCCTAAAATATGTGGCTTCCAAAAAACTGATCACTTTTACCTAATCAACACAGTGTTTGCCATGATTTTGAAAAACTCACCAAAGACATTAATTCAGCAGCCAAATGCTATAGTATAAGACCCAACAATCTTGTGATTATCTTTGCCGGCTGAACTTAACTAAACATGTGAGCCTCGGTGCATAAAAAAAAACAACTCTCCACATTCTAGATCTGCTTGTTCACCTGAGGAAGATCTGTGCCCATTTTATGTGTGAGTATGACTAACGTCCACGCCCCATAGTGACTCGACAACAAGCTGCCATCTTTGGTTTTCTCCACCTATTTTTTTGCCTCCTTCTGTCCATCTGCTGTGAAGCTTTACTGCAGTCTGTCGAGGAGATTCGTCCAGAATTAGGAGGCTGGCCATTTTCAGTTTATGGACCTTCAAAAACAAATGTCTTTTTTAAGTTAAAAACACACTAAGATACATTGATTCCCTTTAATTTAAATATTATCCAGTGTGTTCAGATACTTTTGTGTTGTGGCAGCAAAAGTTAACAATCATAAAAATAACGTCTGGATAAATCTCACCTGACTGCACCTCCCTGTCTCTATGCCGAAGTTAACATTAACTCTCTTTCATTTGTGTGACTCACATCACTGACACCATTTCTAACTCCGTATTTTCACCTCATCGTTTTCTAATGAATCATTGGTATTTGAGTCAGACCACGTCCCTCACTGCATGCTGTGATCTTCTTAATGAACTGACTCATTCCTTTCATTACAAGTCACTCGGATTCATTTCCCCCCCTTTTGTCCACATGCTGTCATATTTTAAAAAATCTGTTCTTCCTCAGAATCCACTGGAATTTTTTTTCTAGTGGGTGTCAAGTTTTTAATCATCAAAATCTGCTTCATTTCTCAGAAGTGAAGTATCATTAACACACGTCCTTCAAATTTGGCCCAGGTTGCTTGTCCATCACAGGACTGCTAAAGTGACATCGACCTCCATTTGTGCAGATATTTAATGGATTTATTTGGTCAGTTTTGAACAGTGAGATGTCAGACCCTGTATGCAATTCATCAACATCTCACTGAAATTATGATCTGCTGAGAAGAATCAGACAGAATTGAATGTTTCTGAATTCTTGTGCAGAAAGTAAAATCAGTTGAGACAAAACAAGCAGGTGTTTCTTTCACTGCTTTTATACCATTTTTTACTTAGAGCCTGTTATCTGTTAAATCACCATGTAGATTTGTGTGGAGGCAGCAGCTTAATAAGCACAAAGGTGGGAAAATGTGGATTCTAAAAAGAGATAGTTAAAGACATTTTTTTCATGTGTGACTTAAACAAGTTTGTGTGTGTGTGTCTTTCAGCATTAAATATGTTCCAGCAGAGTATTTAGAGGAATACAAGGCCAGCCAAGAGCAATCAAAACCTGATGTCTTTTCTGGGGCAACATTAGCATCAGCTCCTGTTCCTAAGTACGTTTTGTACTATTCTTACCCTTATACTTTCTATCATTGTTTATTCAATTAAAAACTAGATTATCATAACAAAAAGATCCATGGAGGGTTATTTTCATCTTGATGTTGCTTAAAACATCTACATGTTTTATGGGGTTTAAAGATCCATGTAAAATTTAATTTGACCATTTTTGGCATCATTAAAAAAAATCTTACCATTATTTGTCATTAGAAAATTAAACCCTAGCTAAACTGAACTTGCCTCATTCCTTTCATTACAAGTCACTCTGATTAATTTGGCTTTCTTCAGGTGTAGTGTTAAGAATATTAAATAACTGATGCACTAGATCCGATCACTACTCTTTTTATTTATATCTTTTCTTGTAACTTTGTCCAAACATTTCTCACAGATAATATGTTTATCTTTAAAAACATGCATTGTATTTATGAAAGTCATTTTGGAACATATACACATTTGCATTCATTCACCAACAGCAGACTGTGCTAATGTTATGGCTTGATGGTGACAGCACAACTCTCAACTGCTTCCAAGAAGTTGCAGATCACAACAGTGTCCCAATATATCCAACACATTACATCTCATTTTCATCTAGGATGCATCTTTTGGCTTTTAATTGCAATTATCTCTTTGGTTTGGTTAAGCTTTAGTAGCTCTTGCATACAACCATTATATTGTATTATTGTCATGATCTACTCCAAATGATCGATAACATTAAATGATAATTAAGACATGCTAAATATTTTTGGTTGAGTTGTAGTTTTTTGCCTTTTTATTTTTGCTAATGTGACTTCCCCATTAATATCTAGAGAAATTCCAAACCTCCCTGAGCGAGAAGACGGTGAAGGAGAAGAAAGTGACTCCTACAGTAACTGGAACCAACCAAGAACGTGAGTATTTAACTGTTGCAAATTGCAAAAAAAAAACAAAAAACCCTGAGGGGCCAAAGTAAGATGGAAACTCTTGCTGACCTCAGAGTGGAGCTGTTCCGAGCACCAGGCAAGTCCCTGGGCATCAGTATCGTAGGGGGCCGCGGGATGGGCAGCCGACTGAATAACGGGGAGGTGATGAGGGGGATTTTCATCAAACACATCCTGGTGGACAGCCCTGCTGGTCAGAACGGGACCTTGAAGACAGGAGACAGAATTGTAGAGGTGAAGGAAGTGAAGCAAGGCACATTTAAATTTGAAACTCCAAAGCCTGGGGTTGTTTCTCAGTATCAAACTATTGACTTGACCCTTACTTTTTGGAAAATGTATCTAGGTGGATGGAGTTGACCTCAGAGATGCTACACATGAGGAAGCGGTGGAGGCTATACGGAAGGCAGGCAACCCCGTCACATTCTTGGTGCAGAGTATGATTCACAGGCCCAGGGTGAGTCTCCCTTACTGCTTCTCGGGAACTTAACATCACACTTTTCCTTTTTCGTTTTAACTGTTAAACTTCAGCGTATTTGCACAGGCCAAAGAGGGCACTTTCAAAAACTAAATTATAAAATATAAATCTGTACAATCTGCTCAACTTCAAAATGTTAGAAAGAAAAGCAAAAATCTCTGACTGCAACAATAATCCTGGCACGGAAAGTTAAAGACATTAAGTTGTGGCCTTTGAGTTCAACGCTCATTGAAAATCACCGTGTCACCGTGCAAACAACGCTGTTGTTTGAAGGTGCCCTCGGGCTCTCAAGGAATGAGTAAGTAGTTTCCTCCTGGGGCTTCTGTTGGCTCAGTGCCAGCATCAGAACTTCATCATCAATCTCTTTTCAAATATTGTTTTGTGCCAAATATTCCTGCATGCTTTCCCCAAACTTGCTGAGGCTCTCATCATGTGACACAAGCAGAGGAGGCAAAGATGTGTTCAATCTACAAGAAATAGTTTCATCTCAGTGGTGACGAGGTGTTTTTTCAATTAAAGTATGAACACAAAACGACACAAACACAGAGAAACACCTGGTAAAACAGTTAATTCTTAATTGGGTCATGTCTTTTAGATCCTGCTTCACCTTTTCTTTGTCCAGTAATAGTGAAATATACATACCACAACAGTAGTAAAGAATGTGAGGAAAATGTAAAAATTTAAGAAAAACTAATAAATTATTTAAGCCAGTATTTTGTTAACTAAACTCAGATGAAGTCGGCTAAAGTCAGTGATCAGATGGAGCTACAGCTGAGCCTGTTATGAAGCTTAAGCAATTTTAAGAACTTTGGGCTAAAAATACATTTTTGCTTCAGAACAGCGATTCCTAAAACGATTTTTGGCTGTGGTGGGAAAAAAATATTCTCCATACTGCCCCTAAATGCTAATTTTGATGAGAACACAAGGCAAAATTCTGGAAAATATGACCAAAAACATTTTGTCTCAATATTTCAATTATTGACCAAAAATGACATACTTTTATGACTTTAGAGAAAAACTCCTAAAAATGCCTCAGAACATACTGAAAATGTACACAGGAGTCAGAATTAAAAATAAGCCATAATGAGCCATTCCAAGCAGTGAAAGTATTTTTCTTCATCATTCATATTGGCTGATTCATGACCAGATTTTATATGCCGTGTTTTCTATTGGCATTTATTTTTGTTTATCTACATCTTGATAAAATACTCAGTAAGCCAAAGATGAATGACTCAATTTTGCCAGCAAAACAGCCAAGAAGATGCCACTTCTATGTTTAGACCTCTCAGTCAGCCAGTCAACTTAAATAAGCACACGCTGAAATCCTGACTTAACAGGATTTCAGCTAAACTCTGTCAGAGCAGTTTAGATTTATGTTTATGTATTTAAAACAACAGGGGGATTGATTTGCATCTGAAACTCTTATGTTCTGAGTCTGTTCCTCCGAACCTCCTCTTCTCACCCTCCTCACTGCCTCCTCAGCCTGAGTCACTTTGTAGCCCAGCTTCGTCGCCTGCGGTAGGGAAAAGCAGCGGTGCTTTCACATGCATGCCACATCCTACACGTCAGGTAATCTGTCTCTCTCTTTGTCTTTCTTATTCCTATTACATCAGCTGTCCATTACACTTCATCTCTGCTGCATTACCCCCCCACCTCCCACCCTCCTCCCCCGTTTAACTGCACCTTTTGATGTGTACGTGATACTGACGAATTGAAACAGGGGAACAAATCGGGGAGAGACAAAAAAAGAACTACTACTCCAGGCCTATTATAAATATCTTGTCAGCGTTTAATAATCTCCAGGTAGCCTCGAGGAATATTTGCAACATTCTGTTTGACTATTTCAGCAGAAGCTTTGCTGGGTTTTGTGAGATCTATAAGAAAAAACTGTCCCCCTAAAGGAACGTGCCATGTTTAACGGCCCCTTATTAGAATGAGACCTGAGGTGTTGTTCTCTCTCTCTGTCTCTCTCCTGAATGGCCTCCGATTCAGTTAAATGCTAAAAACTTCGGCATTCAAAACAAGTGCCTGTCATTTTGTCAGCTTGTTGATCCTCTGTGTTGCTCTTTTCAAAGCCACCCCTGCCCTTTCTGCAGCTAAATAGCCATCATGGGTCCAGCCTGTGCAGCACTAATCACACCTACTTAGCTCCTGCCCTCCTGAAGGTTAGGAAGCCACCCTGTGTCTGGTTGCCTGTTTGTGAGTGTTGGCCACTTCTTTTTCTGTTTCTCTTGTAACAGAAAAAGAAATGTGAAAGGATAGAAAAATTCATCTGTTTGAATGGATGAAGCATTTCTGCCCTTAATACTTGTGTATTTTCTATTTTCTCTACCTGTTTGTAACAAAAGCAGCCACTGTTATCTGTGTCTTTTACACTGCTTTTATTCACCATTCAAACCAATAAGTTAAACCAAAGAAAATGCTTAGACCGTTTTGCATTTTTTATGTTTTTTCCCTACTGCTACCAAGTTATATTTGTGCTGTCATCTGTGTAAATGTCACTGCTACAAAAAGAGACTGAGCTTGATTGGACAAGAGACATTATGTGCAAAAAGCATAAATGCAGCATGGGTTTCCTTTTTCTCTTTCAAAACGCCAGAATTTCTGCTGAAACATTTTAAGCTCAATCTCTGGCAAGCAGTGGTCAAGCTTGGACAGACATGTGATGCAGGGCGAGCATTTTCCCAGCCCGTCAGCGTTTTGGCATGACTTACTGTCTATCTGTGTGTGTGCACTGCCAAGCTTGTGTGGACTTTAGTTTAATTTATAAACAGATGGCTTTTCATGATACGGCATATGCTGCATGAGAATGCTTTTAAACACCCGCTGCTTCTGACATTGTATGAACTCATTAATATTTATAGGATTAGGTGTTTTGCAGTATACTGCAGAACTACAGTATCTTTCACTATCTGGTGACATTGACGTGGATACTCTGGAATATTCCCTCGGTGCGGGACACAAACTAATAAGGAATTCCGCACTGCAGTTGCCTGATCTGGAGCTCAGTGATTTAACTTCATGTCATCTCTGTCACCAACAGCAGCCATTGATAACAGATGCCGGTGAGGAAAGAGCTGCAACTCTTACAAGAGACAAGGATAAGGTTGGTATTTCCTGTGGCCTTCATCAGCAGCTGATATCAATGTTTTGTATGAATGGGATATCCTGTCAAGGCCAGTTTTTAGGAGAATGCTTGAAAACAACTGGCCTTTTCTTCTAGTCACTGGATCTATCTCTGAATTTATTGTCAAACAACAGGGGAGAACCTTGACATGTGTCTTTTATGTCCTTTTGTGTATTGTCTTCTAAAGTTATTGTCTTTTCTCTGTAGGAGGGAGACAGTCACAGTAGACTTTTACTTCGACTCTCCCCAACTAACCCTTTCACCCCCACCCCGTTTAAGGTTTGTGGGTCACTGTGTTGTGCTCTTCACGTCTCCTCTGTCATGTATGTTGATGCACATGTTGATATTCTGTCTGAATGTCTGACATGACGTGCTCACATACACTTTTGCATTACACAACACTCGGGTTGTACCGATACCAATACTGTATTGGTTCCGGGCTGATACGTCTTGCAAATATTCTCAACCAAGTGCTTACTAGTCATCCAGTGTCTCAGTGTCCTCAGGGGCAGTTTATCTTTTTTAGGTCAACAATGTCAGTGGTTTGGAGGCATTTTAACCTCAGTGATGAAACAGGAACAAGATTTACTGTAGAATTTTTTTGAGCAATTGAACTAAACCACCTAAAAATGCCTTAAAGCTAAATACACCAAGGAATATCCTTCTATAACTTTAACCTTCCAGTTTGTTGCATATTTATTGAAGCCCAACCTAAAGAAGTATTGTTGACAATACTCAGTAACTACACAAAAGAACACTCAAACTTGTTTAAAATGGTATCGAAACAACCCTTCCTAACACCTTCTCCACACTCTGAATCTTTTTTTGCTGGGGTAGAGGGGTTGCGATGAAATCAGAACAACTTTTTGTCTTTTTGCTATTTAAATAAATATTAACTTTAAATCAGTTCTGTTGCATGTAGATCACAGGTAAGTATACAACAGGTGAATTTCACACTTCTTCTACAACAGAAGTGACCAATCTCTTGTGCAGCAAAACATGCTGATGTTGTCGATTAAATCAGCAGCTCTCGTGGTTTTTCCCATTTCTTAAAAAAAAAATCACATTAAGTGGATTCAAACCCTAATTGCACAGTTGAACAACCTCTTTCTCTGTAATTTCCACTAATATACTGTTCTCTGACTCCATCTGCGGCGTGACAGCCGGCGAAGCGTGAAGCGGCAAAGGCATCTCCCACCAGCTCTGTCCTCCCCCTGCCAGTGGTGCCCCATGTGGGAGAGACTGATACAGACGTGCTGACAGAGATTCCTGGCAGACCTGCTGAGGCAGAGGAGGAGAAGGAAGGGGAGGAAAAGGATGAGTTTGGATACAGCTGGAGTAAGTTTATTTTCTTCTTTTCATCAAATGATAGTGTACAGCATTTAATTAAAAGGCTTTTTAGGTTAATTAGATATTCGATTAAATGTAATCGGTGTGTACCATAGAAAAACGTGATGCTTTCTCAAGTCTCCATTCACTGATATGTCACTTAAGTAAAATCAATTAATGGGGAGGGAGGATTTGTATGCGCCGCTATCAATGTGATGTAACATAATTGCCACTAGAGGTCAGCCAAATTACATCCTTCTTGCCTTGCATATAAATCCATTCGTTCGGTCGCTTCATAAAAGTGTGACGAGTCACATGCTGGAGGTGACTTTACCTCAGCAAAAACCTAAAGAACACGATGTCAGAAATTAAGCTATTAGCATCCTACAGGCACCACCACACCCACTGTGAGGGGGCAAACCTTTTTTTTCCTTTTTTCTTTGCTTCAAGGACAACAGGTCATATTCATCATAAAGGACAGGCGTCCAAACACCTGTGATTATGGTGACTGTGTTAGTGGACGTTGCTTGGTGTTAGTGTGTCTAAGTGTCACAAAGGGAGAGACTGGACTGATCCTGCAGGGTGAAGATTGATGAGGTTGGGCCCACGGAGGTGAATTGGGGAGATGAGTACCGGAGTGATGGTTGAACAGTGGGCATAGAGCCCAGAAAAACAGGAGCCTGTTGGTCGGAGCAGCTATCTAGCACACCAGAGACAGGAGTGGTGCAGGGAAATAAAGAAGGAGACCTGAGTGAGAACAAAATAGACAGTGAGCATACAAAAATAGAAGGTGGGACTGAAGCAAAAAAAAAAAGAAGGAAGAAAACTCATTCAGATATCTGACATTTCCAAATTTATGTAGCCTTTTACGCCTGTTCATCTTGAAAACCTGGGCCACTTTCAGGAGCAACACGACATGAACTAATATGTAATGTAGTGATGAAGACAAATCAGGCTCCTCATTCACACTGTCAGCTTACATCTTTATGCCACAACTCCTTCTGCCTCTCCCTCAGATACTGTGATTCAGCGCTACGGCAGCCTCCCAGGAGTCCTGCACATGATTGAGCTGGAGAAGGGAAAAACAGGGCTGGGCCTCAGCCTGGCAGGAAACAGAGACAGAGCCCGCATGAGTGTGTTCGTGGTGGGAATAGACCCCAACGGGGCAGCCGGCAGGGACAGGCGTATGGTGGTTGGAGATGAGCTGCTTGAGGTGAGCTGTGTGTAGTCTTTGATTTTGAGTGAGTGATTTTAAGTGAAATGGGTTGTGTCTTGAATATTTTTACTCACATGTACTTGGTATTTTTTCCATGAATTTCCATTTCTTTCAGATTAATGGGCAAGTCCTTTACGGCCACAGCCACCAGAATGCATCCTCTATAATTAAAAGCTCTCCGTCTAAAGTCAAAATCATCTTTGTCAGGTATAAAATCACCTTTTAATGCTGCCCAGGAGACATTACCATAGCAACAACTACAATTTCCTGAAGGAAGTCCCATGAAATAACTAACACAGTTGTAGTACTACAGAGTACCCAGTAGAGGGAGTTATTGTTTTTCCTTAGAAGTGGTGCTTTCTAACGGTGAAGTTATTGAGCAGCTAATTTGACAGTAACTTAGACATTTAGCTTTTTTTAAACTAACATGTAAACCATTTGAAAGTGCACAGTACATGTAGCTTATGTACAAAAGGACGTTTTAAAAATACTATAATACAATAATTATTGTTGTCACTAACTACTATATTCTGAGTTGACACCTAGGAAAGACAGACATTTTGTTGGATTATAATGACAACATATTACAAACACATTTGTAAGAAGCTTTAAAACAGGTGATGAACAACAACATTCTGCTGCTAAGGTAAGGTTGTGGAAGTCTCATGTGACTGGTCTTATGCTTTGGCAGTGGTTCCCAAAGGCGAGGGCACGGGCCTTCGACAGTGTGGAGTTTATGCACACTGCATTTGCAATTTTATTTCCTTTCTCTGTGAGAATCAAGAATCTTTATTTGTCACATGACATTGACAACAAGCAATGACAGTGAAATGGGAGTTTTGGACAGTGAAATGGGTGTGGAGGGGGCTCATGGCAAATCCTATTTACAAGAGGGTAGCACTGCAGAAAACATTTTGGGCACCACTGCACCATGGCATGACTGAAACACAGTTTATTGTTTCTGCAGACCCTTTTTGGCCAAAGTAAATGCAGAACTCTTAATTACAAAGCTTAGGTTGTTTCAAAGAAGGAAGAAAACTAACTGAACTAAGGAAAGCAGAGTCAATTGCTTTCTTTACCATTTTGTTACATCTTCATTAAGAGAAAATATGTTGTTATTTCTTAGTGATGTTTGGAGCAAACTATTTCCATTTCTTTCCAAATTGTACCCAAGAAATTTTAATCTGTTCTTAAGACCAGTTGTGGTTTATCTCATTTTTACCCATCTTCTTTTTTCTTAGCAGTCATTATATTATTTGCAGTTCATATTTACACTGATGTATTAGCAAGGACATTTCAAACCCACCATCTTCATCTTCCTCAGACAGTTTCACAGATCACACTGCTTAACCTCCCCCCTTAACTCACATCCTTTTCCTGACCCACTCTGTAAGAGAGGCTGTCATCAGCATGTCATCAGCAGACACAAATCAAGTCTGGTCTGTCACTGAGTACAGGAGCCGAGATTTACATGAGTTATGACTTTTTTAAAACAGGAACACAGAGGCACTCAACCAGATGGCGGTGGGACCTGTGAGAGACCAAGAGGAAGACACAGTGGAGCCCCACTCTGAGGTACGTCTCTACTTAAGGCCACACACGTGTAAACACAGGCCCAAGTGCTCGAGCAGACAACTTTTACTCACCAACAGATGGTAATAATATTAAAGCAGGTATCAAGGTCTAACAAATGTTACTTTGTGCTTTACCGGGTGCTTTAAAAGTCAGTGCATGTTCTCAATGCCACTAGTGTTGTGGTGTGTTTACAAATAACTGAAGACATTGAAGACACTGTCACCAATCCTTCCTGTCCTCCCTCCAGCCAACAGACACACAAACAACTTGTTACTGACTTCACGCTGTACCAACTGTATTGTACTTTTCCCTGCAGTTTGAAACAACTGTGGCGAATGATGACGCTTCAAAAACCACCGAGCACATCACAAAGCTGAAGGTGAGCCGCACTCTGCCTCCTACACATACAAGTTACAGCCGAGTGAGCGTCCATTTGCAATGCTGGTGTGCAGATAATAATAGAGAGAAAGACTAGGAGGCTGTTGGGTAATGAGGGAAATGTTCACAAAAAAGTCAGTGGAGTATGGCAGGGAGACGGAGAGGACACACACACAGGAGCAGTAGAGTCTGACGAGCTGTCAGAGCAGAGAAAAGAGAGACACAGTATTGTCAAATAAAATAGGTGAATAAACAACACAGTGAATGGGAGAACACCACCTTGAAATGAAAAAGAACCGGAATTTTTACCACCTGTGCTTTCTGTATGGAGACAGTGGGAGAGAAAAAAAAAGATCCCATTTGAATAATGAAGCTTGAATTTCAAAGTGAAATTCAATTCAGCTGGAATGTGTTTGGTGGATTGGGGAGGTCTCGCAGCGGTGGTTCTTAATGCAAGGGGAACAAGCTTTTTTTATCCAGGGAAAACATTTTAAATATGGAGGACAGTGTGATACATAAAGTAAGAGTGGAGCTTTGCATGATGGGAAAGTGCTTGTGATGTTGTCAAATTATTAACTGGCTAATTTTTTTAAGCTATTACAGACGCTAAGACAAATTTTACACAGTCTTTCCGTATTCTACAGGAGGACGAATTACCTGGCATTAACTTTGTCGAGCAGAGCACCAACAGCAGAGACAAAATTCTGAGTACATTTAAAGTAAAGAGACACACAAGTGCAATATGTAGTCACATCCACGAGAGTAAAAATAAAACAGCTGATGTGTTTTAGCGTCAGTAACCTAACAGGTGACCTGCTGTTTTCAGGATGTCTGCACAAAACCAGGAGACACCCTCTCGGCTGTGAATGGTGAATCATTGCTGGGCTGCACTGTGGAAAAGGTGGGCAGTTTGCCTAAAAAATAATTGAAATCAACAGTGAACACCTTTCATTGAGGGGGCTGGAAATGTACATGAATGAAGTACAGAAATATTGTTTCTAATATCAACGGGAAACTGTTTAAGAGGATATACAGTTCTTTCAACAACTTGTTATCACATGTTCAGAATAATCGACATGACAATGGATGACAGCCATACAGAAGGACAGACAGACAGAGAGATGGATAAATAGGAAGATAGATAGAAATATAGACAGCAGAAGGACAGATAGCTGGCTGGATGGACTAGTAAAGAAGAGTAAGAATAGCAGCACACCATCAAAAAAAAAAAGAAACTTGGACAATATCCCACAAAGCATTTGCCCTAACATCTTTTAGAATAATTTTCTATTGTTATTTTTGGCATTTTTACCTTTTATAAAACCTACATCCTCTTCCCTGCTTTTTTTCCAGTCAACATGTCAGGATGATGACGTCTCAGACACAGTCCTGCCCAGCAGCCTGAGTCTCCCTGAGGCAGAAACAATCACAAGTGAGTACAGTTGCACCTTCAATTCACTGGATTTTAATTAACGAACGCTAATTGATGTTGAACTTATTAAATTATAACCAGGAGGATAAACCACTGGTTAATTAGTATCATTATCTGAGCAAATGTACCGCGCATTAAATCAATTTAATAAAAATAATAAAAAATAAATGTTGTCCTTATCTGTATTTTAGGTCTGAGTCGCTCCTCCACTCCATCAACTCTGACCTGTGACCCAGCGACCTGTCCCATCATCCCTGGCTGTGAGACCACCATTGACATCTCCAAGGGTCGCACTGGCTTGGGTCTGAGCATCGTGGGAGGCTGTGACACCCTGTTGGTAGGAAACAAAGAATGTCAATACAAAAATGGTTTAAAAAATATGCAGGTATTTAAAAAAGTGATGTATAAATATCAGAAGATCAGATAAATGAGAGTTCATCTGCATGGGTGTTTTTACGTCTTTGATGACACACGTACACTTATTTAAAGGATACGTGACTTGAGCCACTCCACCCACAATGCCACCCACTTAGATTTTGTGACTATAGGTTTGAAATAGTCACAGTGGCTCAGGAATGTAGCAAATTATGTTGTCACAGTCCTTCACCTCTTCCTCCTCCTCCTCTTTCTGCCTCTCCTGCCATCCTCTCCTCAGCCCATCTATTCTGTCTGCTCAGTCAGGCTTGGGGGAGCACCTCTTTGTCTGGCCTCAGCCGCTGCAGACAATATTCAGCCCTGGAATGTAACCTCTGAACTTAGATGACACTCATACTGGAAGGCAGCACAAAATACACTGGAGCTGAAACTGCAGCGAACACAGACAATTTAAAAAAATAATGCAACATTAAAACATAGTCAAGTCTGAGCTTACTTACAAACATTCACTGTCTTTCTTTGCTGCCTCAATTATTTCGCTTTTTATATTTTAATTTCCCTCTTCTTCTCCAGGGGGCCATCATTATCCACGAGGTTTACGAAGAAGGAGCAGCCTCCAAGGATGGCAGGCTGTGGGCAGGAGACCAAATCCTGGAGGTGTGCAAAAAAATAAAAACAAGCATCACTTATGACCTAGATAAAAATGAGGAGTTTCAACATGAAAGCTGGGGTTTAAAAGTTCACCGTATGCTTAAAGAGTGTGATACTGCAAAACAGAGTGAGGAAAAATAATTATGTACCAGCAATGTAGCACTTTTCTCTAAATAAATCCAGTTATTGAGACAATACACTGGAGAGTGAAGTGAATATGAGTATGAAGCCAAAGGGGAAGTAACCTGCAGTGTAAATCCTTTATGTATACTCGAGACTGACAAGTTAAGTATCTCAGCTCAACTTGAAATTGCCCCCTGTTTGACCTCACACTTTGTCACAGAGGGAGGGCCAGAGGGTGGAGCTCATTGGGAGTTTAGTAATAGTAGCTGGATCAGAGGACCTGAACTGAAAGGCACACACACACACACACACCCACACACCCTTAGACTTAATTACCCTCCACTATTCATTTTTGTCAAGCTGTTGTGTTTAGAAAACAGGGTCAGAGGAAAGTGAAAAGAGCAGTTTCCCAGTCGGCGGACATGCCATTAGCTTCTATGGGAAAAAATCCTATGAATGTCCATGGCAAAAAGCTAATGAGGCATTTCCCCCTCTGTTTAATGTGGTTTAAAAAAAGAGTGGACTTTGAGCTTCTCAGTTTTGTGGCTAAGCTTTTGCCCTTTACTTAAATGTAAATGTTCTAACATCAGCCTGTGGTTTTAATATGCTCCAGTGAAATCTCGGCACCGCGGGTTCCTGCAGCAGGAACGTGACGTCTGTGGTGGCAGGAAAATCCTTTTGATTTGCATTAAATTGGACTCGCACTGTCTTTTTATAGCCTCCTGGTTCTCCCATTTACAGCCAAGGAAAAAGAATTTGTGCTGCTTTTGCTTCTTTTGTGTCCATAAATGTAAACACACATGCAATTCTACACACTGTGTTTAAAAAGCATCAAAAAATGTCCTTTTACCAGAAACCACCACATTTCCCTGGCAACATGCAAACATGACTCCATCCTGTCACAGGTGAACGCTATTGACCTGCGCGCAGCCAGCCATGATGAAGCCATTAATGTACTGAGGCAGACGCCGCAGAGGGTACGGCTGACGGTCTACAGGGACGAGGCCCAGTACAAGGAGGAGGACCTGTGGGACTCCTTCACTGTGGAGCTGCATAAGAAGCCTGGTCAGGGCCTGGGCCTCAGCATCGTAGGGAGGAGGTGAGGGAGCCTTAACATTAGCTCTGCTGGTTAATGTGTAATAGAACAGTTTAAAGAAAATGTTTCACATGCTTTTCACATGGAAATCATTTCTATTTTTTGTCCATTACAAACAAACTACAAAAAATGCAGATCCAGAAATATGAGGTAACTATGAAAAACATAGCATACAGAGTTTGTAAATGTAAATAGTTTAACTCAGAAAATCATCACTAGTCATAATTGTAGTCCCTGTACTTGTTCCAGATCATGTTGAGCCCTTCCCTTTCAGAACCCTAGTATTAAAGTAAATGGATTTTTTTAACCTCACACCCTTGTAATTTACAAATGATGTTTCTAGAAATAGTCTTTACTAAACCACGATCTTTGAATAGCATCTGCTTAATTAGCCGTACTCCTGTCCACAGTTTGTCTGTCTCTTTAGCGCTTATCTTTCTTTTTCTTTTTTTTTTTTACAACTTTCATTGAGTTTGGAAACACAGTTGACAAATATCCCAAGACAGCAGTTCAGTATTACATTTCCAAGCAGTATGGTTAAACTACTTAGTGGTCTTGGAAATTCCCAGATCAACAACTTAAAATTATATACTGCTGAAAATGCCTAGGATTTGTCAGGATTGACTGACACAATGTCGTCGTTTTATTGCCCATAGGCCTGTTAGCTAAGAACTGGGAATACCTACTGCAGGCAGTCAACAAGGAATAGGAAAAGAAACTGGGATAGTATTCAATAAAAGAGAAAGTGGGTGACAACAAACTCTTAAGAGCAGAGTAGATGTTTTTTGAAATGTCCTTTTTGCTCATTTCAGCCAGTAGTATTAAAAACTTTGCTCATTTCAGCCAGTAGTATTAAAGACCTTCTTAAGACATGCGCAGCTCTGTTGATTGAGATAAAATGCCATGTGCACTGTCCTTAAAGACACACTTCACAAGCTGCCAAAGGTCATCCAAAGAAGAAGAATATCAGATCCTAGACAGAAATATTCAGCATTTTCCACGGCCACCCTGACTTTGGTGGACTGTCACAGATAAAGCTGAAACCACATGTTCACTATGTGCAGAAATGTCACTCCTTAGTTGCCCCCTGAGAGCCATGAAGAGTGATTTACAGAGGCCTGACCTCTTCCTAGAGTGGAACTGTCTTCAGCGTAAAATCACCTTTTATTCTGCTGGAGCATTCACAAGTTCACAACATGTGGAGGAAAAAGACCTTTTGGTCTGGTTGTTGACAGTTTGCTGGTGCTGAATGAGGTGACTGATCCCACCTGAGAGATAAACCAGAGGAATGTCTTATGCACATGTACTGCTGCTCATGTGTATTTACACTATGTGTCTGTGTGTGTCCTCATGGGGGTGACTGCACTCAAGTCCTGGACACAAAAACCCAAGTTGGGGTCATAGATCGACCTCTAGTTGCAATCATTTACATCCGTCTGTCACAGTAACCGTGCTGCACAAGTGGAAACTAAAAGTTATATGAGGGAAAAAGACAGTAACTCGAGAGAAAACCCTCCAATAGTTCTCCGGAAATGAAAAAAGGCGAAACTTGTATTTAGTGGTGAAAGCTGTCACAGCCAAGTGTCTCTGGCAGGGGGAAACCTGTCACAGCCAAGTGTCTCTGGCAGGGGAAAAAGTGGGATCCTGTTTTCCTGCCTCCCAGCGTTTGTTAGCATTTATCCACGTGGAGGTTGGCACATTTGACATTCAATAGTCTGTGATTGTGATGTGGACTGGGGGAAAAAAAAACCATCATCTTCTCTGAAGTTCACATCCCAGAGCCAGGGCACTGACTTTGTGTTGACCTCTGATCACAGCCAAACTCACAGACTCACTGCATTGTCTGTCACCACTCGCACTGGTGTAAAACATATCATGAAGTTTAGATTGTGGTTCACCACAAACTGACTGTGTGTCACATTATACAGCTTCCAAATCTAAATTTGGTCAAAGCTGTAAAAGCACATGTGGTCCAGAGATGGGACAAAACAACTGAGATGACAGTCGGCACGTTTTCATGAGCCTAAAAAAAAAGTGAGTTATGGTCTGACTAGATTACACATCAAACTACTATGTTTCCTCTGTACAGTTTGTATACTATGACAAGGTATTTTAAAAATGTTAATTCATAAACATAATTTGATTATTTGGAGTGTTACAAACACACACACACACACAAAAAATCTGGTTAATTGCTCAATAGCCACTCAGTTGAGCCATGACAACAGCAGTTTCTGTCTCACAGGGCTACTTTCCCCTTTGTCCATATACAAATAAACACCATACCAGACAAAAAACACCACACAGCTCTGCTCAGCGCCACCTTAAGAATGCACCTCGCTCCAGTTAAATTCCATGGTCCTTCCAGTCTGCAGTACTAATTCACTGAATTATGATTGGATCTATCACAGTGATCTGATCACATGTTCTGGGTGTGACTCCACTAAATCTGAACTGAAACCATCTCAGCAGTGCAAATATTACCTCGACATATTTTAACTTCTCAGTTGTTTCAGACTCTGGAATATTCACCACTAGTAAGCAGATACTTGACCCGAGGTGGAAAAACATCTCATTTGAATTTACAACTATGGGTTAAAACAGACCTCGCTAAGAAACGTTCCACTTCTACGGCAGATTTTTCCCTGCGGTTTCTTATAAAATATAAGCACCCAGCATTCATTGGAAAAATCTAAAAACTGCTGATTCAATATCATATCATATGCTGCATGTAGAGGGTGTAGAACTAGAAGTCTGGGCTTCAGTCGTATCTGTATTTAACTGTCAATTTCTTCTCCTTCTGTTACTGTTCTGTTCTACTCCATGCAGAAATGACACAGGAGTGTTTGTGTCTGACATCGTGAGAGGAGGTTTGGTGGACGTTGACGGGCGACTGACACAGGGTGATCAGATCCTGTCTGTCAACGGCGAGGACGTCAGGTCAGCCACTCAGGAGGCTGTGGCTGCACTACTGAAGGTAGATCAGCCCTGATGTTAGAAAAACTCACAGCTCAATGATTAGGGACAAGAACGTAAAAACCATTACTATGTTTGTGGTCTAGTGCTGCGTGGGTCCCATAAAGATGGAGGTTGGGAGGTTTAAAGCTGGGCCCTTCCACTCTGAACGAAGGCTATCACAAAGTAGTCAGGTATTAACTACTGTATGTCCAACATTTACTGATGATATTGAAAACATGCTCCAATGTTTCATTTAAATTGAATCTTTTAGATTAGTGATGCATGCAGTTCCAAGGCCGCACTTCTGTTGTGCTCAGATGCTGGAAACCTTCTGAGTAACCCAGACAATTTAAGCCACAGTCAGGAATGTAAGTGTCCTTATCAGGCAGCTGCCAAACAAGCAGACCAACATTCAAAACACAGACAATTCATTCTAGATTGTTTTTCACTTCCCTCCAGCTCTGGACTGTCCTGAGACCAGAACAGTGGAGTTCACCAAAGGCCCCAGTGATTCTCTTGGCATCAGTATAGCAGGCGGCGTGGGCAGCCCCCTGGGCAACATACCCATCTTCATCGCCATGATGAATCCCGTGGGCTTGGCTGCTCAGACCCAGAAGCTCAAGGTCCTGAACTGACTCCTCCCTCTCTATAAGCACTGGGTTTATTCAGCTGTCAGCAAAACACAAACGTCAAACTGCATGCTGGTCATTTTGGAGATGATGTCGAACACCAATGGCCACCACGTCCACTTCAAATTCTTATTCCTTCAACCACTTTATTCAGTCAGTGGAATTTCAAATCCTTCGAAAGGTCAAAAGCCTGTCGCCTGTAACAGTGAGCTTTGCGGTTTAACGACAGGGGAGCTAACAATTGTAGATCTGTTTGACACAGATGGGAGCAGAACAATAGTCAGAGAGAAACATGCATCGTAAAACACCCACTGCTGCATTCAAACTGTGAAGTATTAGAAGTAATAGAATATTCATGTTGATTCGAGTCTAAATGAAACAAGAAAACTCAAGAATGACGTCAGGATAGTTTAAACATCACTAGCCTCTTGTTGCCACAAGTGTTTTAGTCACAAAACATTAACATATACTTAAGCCATAAGCCATCATGTCACTGAATGAGTATCAGTGTCAAGCCCAAGCTGAGTCAGAGAACGTCAACAAGGTTAAGTGTGAATCAAGTTTGACACTGGTCTATAGTGAGTCACATGCTTTTTGAAAAAGATGATTCTTTTAAATGAGTCTCTTCACGACAGGCTGTGCCTTTTTTTCTTCGTTTACCTTAGCAGTTTTCTGAATTTAAATTGTATTTTTTTAGATCGGAGATCGAATTGTCAGCATCTGTGGAAACTCCACTGAAGGCATGACCCATTCACAGGCAGTCACGCTGCTCAAGAATGCCACAGGCACAGTCCAGCTGCAGGTTTGTCTGATCACACACAAACACACACACACTCTTCCAGTCTTACCTCCTCTGTTCTGGCAAGATCAACTCTCCCACACCGAGATAATCTACCTGAACAAAGGGAAAAGATAAAAGTTAGCAGTAGACCATAAACCCCCGTCTTGCCCTCCCTCCCCAACTTGTCTCCACCATCGGTCACTCAGTGAATCAGGTGCAGAATTTCATGACAGTGTTGTGGTTATGTTTGTGTTTGTGTTTGTGTGTGTGTGTTTGCTGCCGCAGGTGGTAGCAGGTGGTGACAGCACTGTGACAGGTCCCTGTCAGGATCAGGCAGGTGGCGCTCTGACACCCGGCTGCATCTTCCAGGATGACATCGGGTACGAAGTTGGTTGATGCAAAGTCAGACAGATGGAATGTTTATCTGACAACACTCTTAGTTAGTGTAAACAAGTATATCGGGGTTTTTTTTAATACTGTTAAATTTACTTTTTTTATTTTTGAAATATTGCCATTTTCCACTTTTAAATAAACCATTAAAACATCCCTGAAGACCTTCTGTGGGTCTGAATCTTGCCTGCAAGGTTGATAATGTAAGAATTGGGCAAAAGGGAAACTATTTAAACATGAAATATACATTTTAAAGCAACCATGGTTTCATTAAGACTCGAGATAATTATATACTGGAGCAGGGATTTCCAAAGGGGCAAATGAATGTCAATTTCAATTTCTCTTTTAGGAATTACAGTGATTCTTTCATGTCTCTCAATTTTCCCATCAGCCCACCTCAGTATAAGAGCATTACTCTTGAAAGAGGCCCAGATGGTCTTGGCTTCAGTATAGTGGGAGGACACGGAAGCCCTCATGGAGATCTGCCCATTTATGTCAAAACAGTGTTTGGAAAGGTATGGCCTAAAGTTCTCACAATTACCTTTCACTGAACTGAAGAATGATGTTTTGTTCAACGACAATCCTATGTGTTCAGGGAGCAGCGGCTGAGGACGGACGTCTGAAACGTGGAGACCAAATAATGGCAGTGAATGGTCAAACTCTGGAGAGTGTCACTCATGAAGAAGCCGTGGGCATCCTGAAAAGGACCAAGGGATCGGTTACACTCACCGTGTTGTCATGAACACACACTCACACCTTGAGTTTCATTCCCACCCACAGTGTGTCAGCTCCCAGATCATATGGGTAGAGTTGTTGACAGAGACAAAGGAGCTGTGGAAATGAGACAAAAACAAGACACAAACAAAACACTGATTAGCATGAAGTAGCACATTAGCAATGTAGCCGTGAACAAGTGTTCCAGAACAATTCAGAAAAAAACTGAAAGCATTCCTGAATTAAGGCAATGAAGATGAACAAAAGTCTTTACTTATGTTTTTATCTATTAAAATGTAATTATTTTCCACAGTATTAGAAACACTCCATGGCCAAAACTAAATACATATAAAATGTATTTTACTACATGAACAAAGTAGTTAAAGAAAATATTTCTTAAAGTTAAAACAATATATAAGCAATCACCAGCATTCAAAAATCCACAGGTTTTTTTTCTATTCTTTTTGTCCTGCTTAAATCAGCAATAACACTGTAATCAAACTAACATCACTATGGCAAAGCTAAGCCACTGAATGAGCTGCAATTAGCATTATTAGCGTTCACATTGACAGTGCTGTTATGATCACATGTATTTGAAGGGACAGGTTGTGAAATCCATGACATTTCTTTTTGTTGTACACGTCTGAGTTGAAGTTTGATCTATTCACTGATATACTGCTGCTAACGCTGATGTTACATCACAGTACTTCGATTTATAAAGTATTATTTAACAGTGATTGAACGAAGGAATAAAGTAAAGTACTGGAACTTCTACAGTGTGGCTGTAATACAGTTAGAGTGTGGCACCTGTTCACGTTGAATCAAATAAAAGTGACCTTTGGATTCAGTGTCTTACGTCTAGTGTTGTGAGTTAATGGATAATAATTATGCATATGCTAAGAAAACTGGCCTGTTTTTAACCTTTAGCCAAAGCGATCGTTAACTGTGACATGAGCGTATGATGTCATTAAAAGAATAGTAATTGTCACTTGTAAAACACAGGGCAACTGTCCAAGTGGAACAGCTCCTGGTGTACAGTCTCCATACTGAAGAATACATGACATCTGCTGTGCATCACATACATTTTTTTATCTGGGAGATAAAAAGGTGTTTATCATCAGCTGAAGTCACAATAAATGGAAGAGGAAATGAAGCAAAGTCAGAAGTTGAAGCAGGTTTGGGTTCATTGCACAACACTGAAACAACGATGAACTGATAAGCTCTTCATTATGAGGGTTGTGAGGAGCAGCACGTATGGTCGAGTTTGAATAGACCTACTGTTGTCAGCACAGACCTTAATAAAGGCTGCAGAGATGAAAAGTTCAGCGTGGCAGCGTCTGAGTGGTCGTCACAGCTGCTTCACTGACTGTCACACGGTCTGGTCGATGCATGACGTCCAAGTCTGGGGTTTACAGCAAACACAAAGGCCTTCAGACTTACCACAAGAACGGTTGACCTTCAAAAGGAATCTCCCTAAAGACAAGAAAGAGCTTTGACAATCTTCAGTGGTTACATAGTGTAGTGGTCATCACACCTGCCTTACACACAGAAGGTCTTGGGTTCCAGCCAAAGTTTTAAACAAAAATTATAACACAGTCCAAGTTGTGGGCCAAACAAGATTAACATTCAGTGAATGGTTTAGTGTTGACAATGTTATAACCAGAAATATTGTCTGTGAACAGACTACAAAGACTTTTCCAATAAATACGCTTAAAAATTCAACATAAAAACCTAGAGTAAAACAATAAATAAGTGAACTACTCGCGTTGTGACACTGCAAACCACCAAAATGCACACAACCAAATGTGACCTCTGCTTTTAACCCATCACCAAAGTGAACAGTGGGCAGCTCTAAGGGGAGCAGTGTGTGGGGACAGTGCCTTGCTCAGAGCACCTCAGTGGGAAATTAGCAGCTGGTGGACTCGAACTAGCCTTCAGGACCCGCTTCCTTAACCACTAAGCCACCACTCCCCCATTAGAATTGTAAATTAACCCACTATGCATATGGAAGGTATTTGACCACTGCACTGCGCAGCCATCTGCCATACAACCCTCTACTATATACTTTCATTTTAAGACCCCCGTATTCTAAGGTGAGCTCTGTTGGGCTGGATTTAGCTTGTGGACCAATTCTTAATCTGATTAATATCAGGAATTTGTTAACTTTATTATTAAGTTAATTTTGATAGCTTGAGGAAAAATGCATAAATAATCCTAAAAAAATAAATGTAAATGTATAAAAGAGTAGTTTAATACCAGTGTACGCCACTGCCTGTGAACAAGGCTGCACAGATTGTTCTAATTTAGTCAGAAGGAACAGGTGAACAGGTGAACACTGTCGTGCCTTTGTAAGTAGAGGTTCTGCTTCCTCAACTGTTCACAGACTCCCTCACCCTGAGGTCAAGACCTGCAGCTGCTGCTGCTGCTCTCAAAACCACAAGCTGTGGCTCCAGCCTGTGTTCCACAGCTGAGTTTTCACCAAGCACCTGTTCTGAGGGTCCCAGTGGGTTGGAGATTACCAAGCCCCCCCAGCCCAGGTTCAGGATATACCGGCTGGTTTACACAAGGCTTGTCAGCACAGGCGTTAGATGTGAGATCAGATGTTGCCCTGGTAAACTCTCGTCTGACTTCAATGTGGGCAAATGGTGTAACTTTTCTGCAACAATGGCGCCATCGTTACAACTTAAAAAAGACTAAATTATCAAGATGTCAATCAGGCTCCGTGCTCTCTGTCATGGGATTTCCCCACAATCTGTAACTCTTTGACCCCATGACTGTAAACCATAACCCAGACCAGACCTTTTTATGTAGTCTTGCCTGCACAATTTCATCTGCATGTCTAATGTTTTTTGACACTGCAGCTTTAGCAGCCAGTAAAATAATCCTGTTGCTACCTGTTAAAATATTTAAGAGCCAGTTTCATGTTGACTCACGCTAACATCCGTTCTCGGAGGAAAGGAATAAAGCAAACAAACCTTTAGGTTAATTATTGATTCATGATGACTCAGCATAACAAACATTCAAGCCAGTTTGACTAGCTAGCAACAGCTATTTTTTTATTTAGCCTTGCTTCAAAAAAGGCTAACCTAGGCTAGGCTGACTTTTTACTTATTAAAAGCTAAAAATCTAATATGATGGTAGAAGTTTAAAAAAAAAAACTGAGGTACAGTTCCTATCCTGCAGACAGTCCATGAAGTATATATTTTTTAAACCAGTATAAATGCCATGAAACCAACCCTAGTGTTTGGACTCTAGGGCACTGCTTTAGAAGACAAGACTTCTTTAGTGGCTCTGGAGAAACAGGAAGATCAGTCTGCAGGAAATCACCCGACCTCGCTGCTCTTTTTGACTGTAGTCTCCTGTCTTCTGCTGGCTGTCAGAGAGATTAGCACGTCACAGCTGCTGTGATCGGCTGCAGTGTCTGAGTCAGCACACATTAGCTGCTCTTTAACAGCCCTGCCCCAGCAACGCTACACAATGGTGCAATTGTAGACAAACCGGGTGTTGGTTGCTGGGGACAATAGGATCTATGGAACTGGAGGCGAAAAAACTATGTCAAATATCAATTACAGCGGCTGCTCTGCACCAGAATATTTAAATAATGCATCAAATTAACAGCTAAGGAGGAACAGAGCTGTTCCATGGACAACAACTTGGGACGTGTCATCTAGATTTCATGTAAAAGAGGTTTTTTGACTAGATCACCTCCGTTGGTTGTTTTTGCAGAAGGTTTTTGCATGACCTTTTTTTAACTGGCTCTGCTTTTCCGATCTAACTGCCAAACAAACAAACAAATACTCCACCTTAAATAGATACTAACATTGCAATTGTCGGAGTAAACAACCTACAGACAAACAAACAAACACATACTTTGCTCCGTTATAACCCCAAATTATGCCAGAGTCATACTTAGCGAGGAGGAAGTTGATTTGATGGTGATTTACAGTGAGGTTTCCAAAGCCACAGCTCTCTGGTGCTTTAACTGTAAAAGGAAAAGAAAAAAAGATCAAAAGATCAGCAGCAGTGATGACATCATGCAAGATCAGATTTCCTGCTCACCTTTACACACACAATGTGAGTGTTTACAAAGACAACAGGTTGAATGTAGGAACACAACACACTGACATTAAAGTTTGGTCCTGCTGACAGCAGTTATTACATGTTGGCAGTGCAAACAGACTGCTCTGCTGCCAAGACTGTCACACCAGCACAGACCAAACATATTTTAATGATCCTTCCACATGAATCGCTGTCTGTGTCTGATAACGGGAGACGGCTTCACCTTAAGGTCAATGTCCCAAACACAACCTGTCTGTTTCTCCTGGAATATTTGCATTTGAGTTACAGGCTTCACATTACATCAGCGCAGCGCGGCCGAGGACTGATAAGGACCGAGGAGTGTGTAATCATGGCTTTATGAGCTGGGTGTAGAGTAATGTGATGACACAGTCGCTGGGATATGTTTGTAGAGTGTGGAGTGAAAGAATCAGCGTTGTTTGAGCAGGAGAGGTGCACATGGTGA